ACATATCCTTATCCAAGCTATCAACGTTTTTTTTTTTATTTGAATTCAAATCTTCAAAGATCTGCTTTTTATTTCCTAGTTTGTAAGGCGTTTAGATTGCCAAGTAATGCAGAATGGATAAGAAGAGGCTATAGTAGAAGATGCAGGGGAACCTTCGTGTGTTCTGATGGGTTTGAGATGAAAGTGAAAACACTGTGTAAACGTGGTAGATGGAGAGTCAAGATATATTGTGTTGTAAAACCAACCACTTTACCACCCACAACAACAGCAACAACCAAACCAACAACAACACCCACGACAACACCCACAACATCACCAACAACAACACCCACGACAACACCCACAACCACACCAACAACAACACCCACAACAACACCAACGACAACACCAACAACAACAACACCAACGACAACACCAACGACAACACCAACAACAACAACACCAACGACAACACCCTCAACAACACCCACGACAACACCCACAACAACACCCACGACCACACCTACAACAACACCAACAACAACACCCACGACCACACCTACAACAACAACCACGACCACACCCACAACAACATCAACAACATCCACAACAACTGATCCAGGTATTATGCAAGCGCGAACAACTTTGATCGCCATATCGATGACAAATAATAGAAAGGTCATTGAAAATCAAGTGGTAATCCTTGCTTTTCAAATGAAAGGGACACACCTGTAAGTCACGAGTGTCATGTTCATTGAAAAATTTGTGTAATGTAAATTGATCGCCATTACACCGGACTATAAATGGCATAGGTCTTATCCTTTCTACCTTATGAAAGTTTATAAATGAGCCTCATATTGTTTGGGTCGTTGTCCAACTCTTTAGAAATGGATACTTACTTATACCACATTTTTGAAAGATGGGTGGTAAACCTGAATCCAATACAAATATAACACACTCGTTGCCTTTAAAAAAAATCAGAACTCTTTTCATCATTTTATATTTCATATTTGTAGACCCGTTTTCCAGATTTTCGCAAATATTTGTTCTTTTCAGATATACAGTGTGATTCCAATCCAATGGTAAATAATGGAGACATCACCAGTGAGATATCAACAGAAGTTGGGTCAATTGTTCAGTTTAACTGCTCTTCTGGTTTTACACTGAATGGTAGGGTTGGTACTCTTACTTGTAACGCAGAGGGTGTCTTTGAACCAGATCTAGTTTGTGAAGGTAATATTTACCAAAGCACACGACGGACAACGAAACATGTGACAACAATTCGTTGTGTGCGTTAGCAAAAAACAGTTTATTTTCGAGAAACATTATTTTGTTTGAAAATTAAACTTGGTTGAATTCTGAACAAATGATTCGCTAGCAAATGTCTTCAATTGATTTTAATGAAATTTGTTGTGATCTTTGATGTATTTGGGTTATTGAAATTGATTTTTAAAAATTTGGTGGAATTTCTCAGCATAAATAACTGGCAGTAAATATATATATCTTTGAATTCAAACTATTAAAATTTGTACTTTAATCATTAAAAACTGTTTTATCATTTCTGACAGCTGCCAGTGGGCGTATGTTACCTTGTCTGGCAAGATGTCTTACCGTCTCCAAGACAGACCGTCATCATCCAATCAGATTCATTTTCCTTTCAATTGCATGCTCTGCACGTGATTATCGACAATGTGGAAAACGACCGACTGGAGATTTTTGTCTTCTTTGCCAGACGTTGAAACTCAAGACAAGACTGTTATCGGCGACAAAAGTCTCCAACCAAGACAGTTCGTGTTAAACGGATTTTCGAAAAACAGTAAAGGTTAGGCTAGGTTAAAACCCATATAAATTTTTTTGTGAACACGAAAGAAGCTAGAGTTTTCAATCGATATTTATGAAACTTGATATTGCATTATCTTGAGACTTAAATCGTTTCGTAAACGTGATCATGAAATTTTTTTAATTGCCGTTACGAAATCATCGTACGGAAACGTTAGCACACCCGGTTTCTCCCTGTCAGTGATGCAAGTTGGAGTGGCTGGAAAAACGTCTAGTGTTTCGGACGGGACAATAAACCGAGGCCCCGTTTGTTACAGGCTGAGCACGTAAAACTTCAAAGATATCTAAACAGTTTAATATTTAATGAGATATTGTCTTTGTTCTTGAAGTGATGTGGACACGATGGAGAGCTTTTTTTTACGGATTTTAACAAAACTTTTTGTGCGTGTTTGTAATCACCGTGGGATAACCCCTATATTGAAAATCACAAAAAAAATATTGCCCTTGTTTTCAATTTTTAGCTAGTAAAAGGCCTAGTATGCACGATTTAAATGAAACTTTGTGAAATTGTTTATTGCAAGAACAAGGATGAATCCTATTAAACAGCCGAAAAAAAAAATTTGTTATGTTCTTGTTCAACTTTTTGTTTGAGAACAGTCTAGAAGGCACAATTCGGAACAAATTTAAAAGAAACTTGGTGGAATTGTTTATTATTACCCAAGGATGAACCCTATTAAGCAAACTATTTTATATTGGTTATTGCCTTTGTTCTTAAAAACACGTTCAATTTTTAGTTCGTAGACAAATTCACGACTGACTGAAACGAAATTGTTCATTATCACCTTACGATGAACCCTATTGAAAATCAAAATAAAAAAGAGAAAAGATTTGGGTTGTGAATAAACCTCCCGTGGTATCAAAAAGATACTCTCGAAAAATTTAATTTACTGATAGCTCTTGTCAATCTACTACTGACGACTTTTTGAAATAGCAATGAGGTCTCGGAAAGAAGTTCTGAAACAAAGAAAGCTTAAACCCCAAAAGAAACCTTCGAATTATTTTTCTTCATTAAAAACAGACTCTGTCTTTTTTTTCATCTTTATCTTTTAAAGCTATGGCGATGTAAGATAAAGTAAAAACCCAATCGAAAACAATTTAATTGCTCGAAGCATATCATCTAAAGGGAAACCATTCTGCTTTTACCAGCAATGGCGGCACCAATTATTGTTCCCCCACTTTATTTTCGACAAATTAAAAAGTATGATTTGTATTCGTTTTTGCGCCAAAATATATGTCAGAATTCCCCCATTCAATTCAAGAGTCAGGACTCTGCAGGAGTCAGGAGTTGCACCAATTTGATTTCAGCCACGACATTTGTCACCCATTGAGTCAGTCTGTCCCCTATTTGTTCCCTCAGCCCCAGGAGGCTGGCGCCGTCACTGTTTCCCGGAAATTGTTTTGTCTTATTAAAGGTGTTCCATGTTTTTTTTTTTAAACAGACTGCAGATTTCAAGATGCGGGTGGATCTTTTGGCACCATTACAGATACTAATCGTCAGGCAGATGATGAAATAGATTGCACTGAATTATGTAATGCTGACCCCCAATGTGTCAGCTCCCAGTTCTCTCAACCAAACACATGTACCTTTGACTTTCAAATTGACAGGTTTGAAACTGATACCCCTAACTTAGAACAATGCAGACGGGCATGCTTTACCAACATTAGATGTGAAGCCTTTATCGCTTTTTCTGGAGATCTATTGAGTTTCCCATGCTTATTATTCACCAAGCCATTTAGTTCATTTACAGAATCTTCAGTAAGCACATCATCGAGCTGTATTTGAAATCCAATATGGACCTCATGGTTATTTGAGTTTAACGTTGTATATCTAATAACAATAAATTGTTTTTAATTGTATATGTCTTTCATAAACAATAATTTTTCTTACCTTGAGAAGGATTCGAACCAGTGGCACCTGATCGCTAAGTAGAAGACAATCCAAACTTGCTACCGACTGAGCTTTTCCACTGCCACGATATCGCCAATTTGAAGTATATGGAGCTCTAATACAGTTGGTTCCTGCGTTAGGCTTGGTAATGTGTAATGGTGATTGCTTAGTCTAGCTGGATTTTGAGGTCTTTATCCAAAACGGGTTTCTGCTCGTGAGTGATTTGGTCACATTGAGCCCATAGTTCTCTTCCGGACAATCCGTTATGACGTATTCGAGTATTCATAGTTGCAACAACTACTGCTGATCTGTTCATGATATGGGTCCGTTATCTTCGACACTTTTAAATTAACATCATCGTGGTGGTTATGTAAGTAATTAGAAACAGAACGTATGTGTACAAAGGAGACCTATCCCATGTCGGCGGGGAAGCAGACATCGAGGGATTAAGAAACTAAAGGGGTATAGAAAAGGAATCGTTTATGTTCGCTCAGGCATGGCTATTAGGGTTAAAGAACAGCAAGGGATCTCTTTACAAAAGAAATATTTCATATGTTGGCCATCTGGTTGGGGAGATAAATAGGAGTGTAGTTAGGGTTTGGGGTATTCATTCTTTCGCCGAGGAGAGGGTCGGATCCAAGAGTCTTGGGTATACTTCTTGGATTAGTGTAATCTCCAGTTATTGAATGTAAATAAATTATAGTTGATGTAGACGAGTATTTCTTATCCTGCATCCTACAAGAAGAGCCCATCAACAACAAGAATTTGTCTACGGTTAGATATGTTTACAGTTTACAGTGTCTAAAGATAAACCCGTTTACATCGTCGGTCTATACGCAAGATTTTCTATTCCAATTCTTGTATGGATTTCCGCAACTGGATTTTTATTGGTATTTTTGTCCATCCTATTTCGATACAAATTCTGTGTTTCTGTAACAACGCGTCATTCGCAAGACTGGAACGGCATCAACACGTTTGACGCATGGTGGACCGTCAAGGGGAGTGAAGTTCAATAAATATTGTCCTCTATTAGGCACGCTGTGGTGAATGAGGAAACACTTTCTCCCAGTATCGGTATCACACTCATTTCGTAAGATGCCGGCAACAAAGCTTATTCCAATAACTTGAAATGGAAGAAGACTGTTCTGTTTTGGTCTTTGGAATCTGTTTTAGGGCTGGGCATTGTTGACATGAAGAAGAAATTCGCTCAATTGTCTTATCCATATATCTAGAGCGAAATAGTATCGGTGAAGCACCTTTTTCAGTTGATATGCCGAAGGGTTAAGATTAAGACGTCAGTGTTATCTTAGAGTAATGACTGAGGTGCATGTAATGCAGAGATAATACCATCAAGGACCTGTCAAGGGACCACAATACATTCTCTTGGAGGTTGTAAAGGGTCTGCGTACTTCACAATTAGTATACCATCTTTAGAAAGAGTAGCGACTGCGAGCATATCATCTACCACAATGTTTCGAACGACGGAATCTTCCAGAGTTCTACGAAGGAACATATCTGACATGTACTATACTGACATTCAGGGACATTTCTACTTGAAAAATCGGATAGAATATTGGATTTTCCGGACAAATGCCCTATGGTGCTTGAAACTGGCTTACCACAGAAAGAAATGTAGATACACGTGGACTGGATGAGAATTCATCTCGACATAATTTGCAATTACACGGATTGCTCTCAGATAAGATATGGGCTTTATGTCGTAGAACTTTGGTTGGTGATAACTTCATGTTTTTAGCTTTTAGTGTGGTTAACACCGAGCGCAAGTTTTGTTGCAGCTCTGCTGGTGTTGAACCACCACAGTAGAGATCATCGGCTAGTTTGGTTACCGCTCCTTATCACTCAAAACGCAGCACATTAGTTCCTCGAGAGCTGTTTCGCTGCCCGGCATTCCCATTGCAGATCCCACAGAAGGGAGTGACAACATCACAATATTTCATATAATCACGTGACAGGGATTTTATAAAATGCATTGGATAGATCTGTTGTGATAAAGCATTTCCATTGGCCTTTTTGACGGAGAATGGAGTCATCGTCTGGGAGGAGAGACAGTCGAGGCTTGCTGTATCGGTCAACATCGCCAAACGCAGTGACAAGTCGGAATCCACCAGAAGGCTTCTTCACGAGGATTGAAGGGTTAAGATATTTTGACAGGAACACCAATGTCATCAGGTCGTTTATACACGCCTTTCTGTTCCAAGTCGTCAAACAGATGTTGTAACTCAGTGAGACTATTAAACGAATACTGTGGTAATCTTCCTTTACTTTGAGGGGAGGAACAGATCCAATGTTGACTGCTGCCTGCAGAAGCACCATTAAAGCCATTACAGATGGTGAGCATTCCTCATCCTCGTGAATGACATCACCGGTTATGCCAGAATCTTTCAGGAGAAGATTATCTTCTATGAATGCAGTCAAGCGTTGGTAGAGATCTCAGGTCGTTCTTCGGCGCTTAAACTGGTATCATCGACATCCAAAAAAATGGCTTACGGTTGACTGGATAGTGAAGGCGGATTGACTTTTCATATAGAGGATAACGATGTTCTTGACAAAAAATTTCCTTGAAATCACGGGACAATAATTGGCAATTCGTCCGAGAATTAATTCTAATGTTTTGACCTTTTATAGTGCAGTTTGTCATCTCTTTTCTGCTATCTCCTCTCCGTCATTTTTGGGTCCCTGTTTGAGGTATCGCGAGTTCGTTTTAACCATATGACGCCAACTCCCAAATAGGTTGAAAACGATGCATCTGTAGAACGGGTGAAGAGAAGATTTTGTTTCCAACCTTCAAATGATTTACATGTAATTGTCTCAGTTTTCGACAAAATCCATTGCTTGGGCACACGGTGTGTGTGAGCTATGTTCGAGAGTGCCTATGTGTTTATTATCGGTATGTTTACACCGAGCGTTACGCTATGTCCATAAAAGTTGATAACATAGTCGTTTTTCTGTTTCTTCAGAAGAGTATATGGTAAGTTTCCTGCAGTCAGCACGTCAGTTAAACAGTTAACAGTTCGTATGACACGTATCCATTTAGAGAACAAACATGGAGAACGAAAGCAAGGGAGATAATTACAAGCAAAGGGAGTGAGCTACAAACTATGACCTACGACAATAGACAACCACAAACACCAATACTGGCGCAGAAGGTTATGTTAACTTTTGCTAGTTTATTGTTCTATTTATCATTAACTCTCATGAATTTTACTTTTGACTCTGTCAGTATTTTCCTCTGTTCCTCTGTTCCTCTGTCCTCTGATGGAAAAAGAGATTATAAACAGCTCCTCATCAACTTGTGCTGGATAAGAAATTAGGATGTTCATTGTTCAGTGAACACAATATTATTTGTTATATTTGATATTTATAGAATTTTGAATTGTCATATTCTAGGAGTGCTGCTAGTTCACCCATGGTTTCTGGTGTGGAGCAATACTAGTGAAGACAGCTTATGACAAGGTATGAGAAAAAAGCAAGAGATGGAGATTGGTCATTTTTGCAGAAAGAGAATCAAACTTTAGAAGCTTATTATTACCAATTGTAATTTTATGGTCATTCTGTGACCAAGTAAGTGTTGATTTTGAATAGAAATGTTACTGTAGGCTTATATGAATTGAGGGTGAAATTTGATTGATTGTCATATTTAGAATTTCATGTATATTTTCAGGATTGTGCTATTATATCATTTTATATTTTACATGTTATTTTTCAGGTATTAAAGACTATATTCAAAGTGGAAGAATACGTGTGTTGTACCTATGAAAGAATCAAAATTATATTCATACATTCCAAATATGCTGCAAAATTTTTTAAAGAGTACATTGCTAGCATTGAACCAAAGGCTATAAAAGATTTGGTTGAGAAATATATTTTTTGCTTCAGATTAGTTCTAACAATATTCAACAATACAACATTTTGTCACCAGACAAAGTTATGTAGCATTGCGAAATTTCAGTGAATTTTCATAACGCGCAACTTGTGTAAAAAGTGTAAAGTGTCGGTCCGTCCACAATTACTCGTAAACACTCTACAAGGCACAATTCTTGACTGATTTCGACGAAGAGTGTTAGTAATCACCCAAGGATGAACCCTATTGAAAATCAGAATAATCGAAAAATAATTAGTTTGAGTTATTGCCCTTGTTCTTGAAATGGATTCAATTTATAGCACGTAAAGGCACAATTCTTGATGGATTTTGAGAAATTTGGTGTGAGTGTATATAATCACCCATAGATGAAATATTATTGCCTTAGTTCTTAAAAACGCTCTCAAGTTTTAATCTCTAAACACTCTAGACGGCTTAATTCTTGACAGTTTTTGATGAAACTTGGTAATATTATTCAGTATCGTCTCAAAAAGTTCAAAAGAAGTGTATGTCTGAAGGTTGAATATTTCATACTGGTAATTGTTATTGTACTGCCAAATATTTTTATTTAAAATAAAAGCTGTCAGTGGGCGTATATTACCTTGCCTAGCAAGCTATCTTGTAATTGATTAGTTTATTTTATGCTATGATAAATTATTGTTTAAATCAAAAGATAAGTTCCTATTGTAAACATTGTTTCAGTATAGTGTAGTTAACATTGAGAAATTTTATTGTGTAATATGCATGTCATAGTATTGTTGAAATGCACGAATCTAGACCACTGCATAAAGTTACAATGTCTGTAATCATTTCATGACAGTTGTGGTCATTCTGGATAACTGTATTCGATTGCTGGTGGACCTGAATCGGGAGGGTGAATAGGTACTCATAAGTCAAGAACTAGAGATGGTTCTCTTTCCAACACCATAGCCATAATTTCCTTGAGTTTATCGTGTTAAACTTTATTAATTGCATTCTAAAAATAAAGATAGCTTGCCAGGCAAGGTAACATACT